ATCGGGAACCGCGATCACAAGATTTTCACGGATCCCACTTCGCCACATTACCAACCTGACCACCCCACTAAGTACTACAGGGCGACGGAAGAACACGCTAAGACTATCAAAACGAGACACGTGTTGCGGTGCGAAGGCAGATTGCCATCACGCATGGGCCAGGGCAGTCGAAGTTACGGGAAAATTGTACACGCCTAGGCATTGCACCAACTAAACCAGATGCTCGAACTCGACAGCGACTCAGAGCCATCACTTTCTAGTTAGGCATCGCGTCAAGGTTCAGCCACCAAGGACGTACTAGGTGAGATCGTAACACCAGGAAAAGACAGCCAACGATTCTGCCTTCCCTACCAAAGGAGTGGCAACAACATTTCCCACCACAGCACACGGTGCGAAACACTGCAGAGCAGTTGAACGAATCAACTGGCGGTGTATGTGAACAGGGAGAGACGTCATTGAAGAGTATAGCTCAAGGCGATTCAAATATGAAGAAGTCTTCTCACCCTCAACATGTGGATGCCAATTCAATGGACGCCCCACCGGGCGCGGACCAAGACGAAGACATGATCGAAGAGTACAAACTGAAAGCGGAAATCCCGGTGGACGTGCAGACAGGCAAGTATGGGAGAAACCTTCAGCAACTCCGAGAGAAAGAGGTAGATCTTCAACAAGGAAGTGCGTAGGGCGAGGTACGTCATCTCGAACGGGAAGGCTTAAACTAGAGAGCCAAGATCGGAAAATTGAGCGACAAATGGGCGAAAGCAGCTAGTTACAGCAAAATAAGAAGGAAACCCACAACACCCTTCTCTCCGGATCGGATCAACCGACGAGAGCATGTTTGACATCACCAAAACGGAAGGTGCCAGCAGTATGGGGCAGTGATAAGGAACATGAGCGAACCCTGGCAGGCACCTTGGCAACCAAGATTGTGTGGAAGGAACTAACGTCACGATCGCTCTCACCGGCACGCCTGGTGCAACCCGACCTCGCGAAATCGATGCGAGGTGCTACACAGAGCTATAAGCACCAGTACTTAGCACCAACCAGCTTCATAGATCCCCAAAATGGAACTGATCCAAGCAGTATATATTATGTACTATAGAAAGTGTCTATATAGTCTACGGTACTGCGATCATATGATTGGTAGAGGGCCTCCTCTCTAAAAGAGGTACAATTAGTGCAATGACGAAACGAAGCAAACAGGTAGGAAGTCTCACTTCCTCTTTTGCTTCGGACTGAGCACGTCTGTGATAATAGCAATAGGAATAGAGAATAACAGTCAATAAAGGGTTTAATTGGCTAATAAGAACCAATAAGAAATTCTATTGGTTAAAAAGGCTTTCATTGAGTTTAACACCCATCCTTCCGTTATCCTTGTTTTTTCCCATAGAACGACCCCTCGTCGCCCTATCTTCCGCTCGTTAGCCGGCTCTCCTGCTTCCATTTTTTCAAACTCCTGCCACTCCCGGAGTGATTCCTCCTTTCCCCCCATCGGCGGCCCTTCCGCCGACTTCGACGCTTGCTCGCGTCACTCTTCTACTGGTGCGTCTTCGTGAGACTGCATCACTTCGAAGAAGTTTTGACCTGTGCGCTGCCGCAGCAAAATCGTTCAGCAGTCCACCGCAGTTCAAATCCAGCTCCTCGACCCAGCTCGCGTCCGCGTATTCCTTCCACTTCACCTCAAACTCGCGCCTCGCTCGTCCGTACCTCGTGACTCGTCCTTCTCGTACGTTCAGGATTCTCTCCACCTCGTATACTTCGTCGTCTAACTCCCGTGCCTCCCAGGTGTCTTCCGGGAGGAGCTCCTCCAAAACGCTCGTCCGACGGCACCGTCAGCCGTAACTCAGGTCTCGACGGAAATTCGCGCACGGGTTTCAACTTGGACAGGTGTACAATCGGGAATACCTTGTACGGAGTGTCACTCGTCTCCAACCGCGCCGTGTATGTGTTCACCAACTCCGCAATGCGGAACGGGCCGTGCCACATGTGCACCAGTTTGCGCGCTTAGCCGGGTTTGAGGCGATCAAGATAGAGCCAGACTTGGGATCCCTCGGAGTACGCCTCCTCCGTCGCCCGTTCGTCTTGACGTCGGGCCCGGGTTTCGACGGCCTCGCGGACGAGCTCCAGTGCTTGTGCTCGGGCGATCTTGTAATGGCGTTGGATTTGCAGTCTCCAGCAACAGGCTTCTATATCATGTGTCGACGTGTTACCCACCGCCAACGTCGCTTCGAGCGTGAATTGTGGGTCCACCGATGAACTAAAAAGAACGGTGTCTCGTCCCGAGTCCTGTCGTGGGCCGTGTTTAGGGCGTAGATGAGCCTATCTGCGTACTTATCCGAGGCGCGTTGTTCGACATCCGCGATATACATCTTGATAGCGCGCGAGATGGTCTGAACCATACGCTCGGCGGCTCCATTTGCTTGTGGCCGGTACGCCAGGGTCGCACGTTGCCTCTGCCCCATGAGCCTGTTAAAAGCTCGGAAGAAGTCCGACATGAAACCCAGCTCGCGGTCGTGACGGATGACCTCACTAGCACCCAAACGTCGAAACTCGGCCTCTTCGTACGACTCGGCGACGGTCTGCGCAGTCCGCGACGCGCTTGTTTTCGCTATGACAAAATCCGTGAAGAGGTCCACCCGTACCAGCAGCTCCGTGTTTCTCTTGTACGACGCGGGCAACGACGGGATGTCTGACCTGGAATGGGTACGTCGCAAAGATGTTTCCGGGCGATTCCCATTGGATCGGCGGCCTTCCTTTCCCGGTCTCGCAATCCGTACACTCCCCCACGTGATTTTGCACGCTTCTGAACAGGCCTGGCCAATGGAAATGTTGCCGAATTCGCTGGTAGGTTCGGCCTATGCCTTGGTGCCCAACTTCCAAGCTCACGTGGTAGTGGTACAGTATGTCATCGCGAAGTGTCTCCGCAACCACGAGCTTCATGATTACATTCCGATCTTCTGCCGTCTCGTTTCCCCGCACATGATAATACAGCAGCCCGCACTCTCCCACCTCGTACTGGCCCGCGAAAATAGCACAATCCCTCACCTCGTGTTTCGAGAGTTCACCGATATTCCCTTCTACAAAAAATTGCTTCAGGTTGAATATCCAGAGTTCCTCTTCTTGTGCCATGCGGATGCAGTCTAAACGGATTCGTTGGACTACGAGTTCCTGCAGAACGTCCGGCTTTGGCGTGGTCGTAGCTCGGTTTTCTGCGTCCCAGTATCGGGTAATAACCGGGACCATACGCTTCATTCCGGGTTTGGCTATATCCCGCGTTTGGGTCAGCTCGTGCTCCCGAGTTTCGAGTTTGGCGCCATCAGCATCCGTGGTCAGTGAACGAATGACTTCCTGCAATCGGTTCAACGTCTTGATATCTTTCACCTCATCGAGACTGTATGTGACTTTCCCTCTCCGACGTTGAAGAGCCTGTCCTGCTAGCATGTCGGCGCTCGCGTTCCAACCTCGACGTACATGTATGAATTCGTGTTCCAGCCAGGTTCGCGAAACATTCCACGCTTGTTGCCTCAGGAGCTTTAACTCAGGCGATTTGCAGTCCATCCCACCTCTCATTTGTTTGATGACAAGGTTAGCGTCTCACAGCTACTAGGTGCGTTGCTTCCAGACCGTCGAGGAGCGAATAAGCGAGCAGTATACCTTGGTACTCCGCCTTGTTGACCGTGAGGCCCTCCGCGGACCCCGAAACCGCGCGTACTACGTCCCGTTTCGGCAGTTCCTAAACGATCGCGCTGAACGCCCCGCCTTCTCGCTTGACTCGTCGAAACTTACGACATAAAGCCTCTCTGCCGCTCCGATCTTCAGTACGGGGATTGTGGCCGTCCGTGGCACACGTGTCCGGGGGGCGATCTCTTCCAGGGTTGTATCGACATGTGTGCGCGGCGTGATGCTCGCGACCAAGGTTCCGAGGAGTTCCTCTTCCCCTCTCGTGGATCGCTGAACCTCCAACCTCCATGATGAGAGGATCGCCGCCCATTGTGACAACCGTCCCTGCAAACACTTGGCCCGGAACAGCCATCCCAATGTCGTGTGTCGCGTAAGCACGCGTATGGTTTTCCCGACCAGCATGGTATGACCGTCGTTCAAACCTCGCAATAGCGCCAGGATCTCCTTCTCGGTGATGTTGTAGTTCAACTCGTTGGGCTTCAGCGTTTGACTCGTGAACTTCACCGGCATGTACACGCCGTCGTGTTCTTGTGCAAGTACGGCCGAGATGGCCCAGTCACTCGCGTACAATATCAGGACGGGCTGCTTTTCCGCATCGAAATGCTTCAGCATCGAGGTCGTCGCGATATTCGCTCGGAGTGCTTCGAACGCGCGTTTGGCGTGGACATACTTTTCCTGGTTGCCGGCTTTTGGGTACGTGACGTATTCGCCAAAATCGCGTTCCGAGAGCGAGTATAGCTTCGTTGCATAGATCGCGAACTCGAGGATGAACCTGTGGTAGTAGTTCAAGCTCCCCAAAAACGATTGCAGACCCTTCAATGTTCGTGGGAACTCTAGCGTCATCAAGGATTCAAGTTTTTTGGCTTCGCCCCGAGTCCAAGCTCCGATACCTCGTGGCCCAGGTACGCCACTCGTGACATACCCCACTCGCTCTTCTCGACGCTAATCAACAGATGTCATTCTTCGCAGACCTCTAGCAGACGTTCAACCTTTGCACACAGGTCGTCCCACGTCGTACCCCCGATCGGTATGTCGTCGATGTATGGTTGTCGACCTAACACCGAGCTCGTTCCGGCCTTCACTGGATCTCCGTCGTTGAAGACATCGGGGGTGTCGCCGGTGGGCGACAGCTTTCAGAACCCGTACAACGCGTTGTATATGAGCCGTTGATATATCTGCGGCGCGTTGCACAGTACGGAGGGCATGTGTAGCCATTCGAACAGGCCGAACGGCGTGATGAAGGCTAGCACGGTCTGTCATTGGGACCACCCAGAAACCGCTGGCCATGTCCAACGAGCAGTACCACCTGTACTTGTCCAGGTCTTCAAGCAGGTCTGTGACCAACGGCATGGTGTAGATCATCAACTGCGTCAGGCTGTTGACAAGTCTATAGTCGACGCAGGGCCGGATATCTACCCCGTTCTTCTTTACGATGATAACGATGGGGGATGCCCATGGAGACTTTGAAGCACGGACCATACGGGTGCTGGGCAGGCCTCGGATCAAATCCGCTAGCTTCTCCCGAAACTAACTCGAGATTTTTCGCACGCGTTGAGCGATCGGTTTCGCGTTACCCACATCGATGTCGCATACTACGCCCTTGGCCGCAGGCGGAAGGGCATTTCCCTTTCCGATCAGCCACTTCCGCTTTTTCCAAACGATCTGACGAATTCTCTCCTCCATTTCGCGGCCTCATCCGGGTCGACGTCTGGGGGCGCCCGACCTTCAGGTCCTCGATCTTGATGTCCGCGGTCAGTGGAATTTCCGGTAGCACCGCCATCTTGGCTTCCAGATCATCGGCGAACAGCTCTGAACCCTCATGTAGGATCATTCCGCGTCTGCGTTTTCGTATTCGGGGATGTCTTCGAGTTTCCGGTCTTGCGCTTCTACGTTGTCTGGTGTTTTATTCGCTGGACTCTCCGCGGGTTCCGATTTTAACGCATCCGCGTCCCGAGTCTCCGTCATCTCCTTCTGGTCGCCCGTCGATTCGCGTTCAACGGCGGCCGTCATCACGACGGGGCCGCGTCGTTTGCTTCCTGTCTTGGCCTCAGTCTCGGTCCGTCGCAGGATGGATTTCGGGTATTGATACTCTCGTCGTCCCGTCATCCGGGTCTCTGGGCCTTGGAACAGCTCTCCGTCGTTCACTTCGGCGGTTGAACCGAACACCAAGTTCTGCCATTCGTCGTACTTCCTTGATCCAGGCTGAACGAAGCCAAACGCGCGGGGTACACATCAACTAGTGTCCGCCAAGCGATCGTGGTGTGAGCGTCCAGGATGGCTGTCTTCTTGTCGACGTCCGTCACGCTTAAATGCATGCGGCGTCTGACCCGAGCCTTGATTACGGAGGTCACCCACGTAACCCCGCGTGTTACCCACAGCGTCGGCGCCATATTCTCGGGCCTCAGCAGTACGTCATACGACTCCTATCGCGATGGGCGTCAAGCTTGGAATGTTCACCGCGCGCATCTTCGATCCGTACAGTGGCCGTCTCCCAATCAGCTGAATCCGAACTTCATCCGGGAGACATGCGGTACCGTCGGCTGCATCGATTCGCACTCCCGCTGGTATCATGACGTCCATCCCCAGAATTGCGTGCTGACCAACCAGGCCCCTGACCCCCAGGTCCGCGTAGTATACCAAGTCCCCAGCCAAGGTGATCTTGATGTGGGTTTTTACCTACTGTGAGGTACGTCTCGTCGCGGATGCCAACGCACTCTTGAGTGACGCTCGTATCGATCTGGCAGCCTACCTCACGAGCAAAGGTGGTGTCCACCTCGGCGCCCGTATCGAGCACCGACACTGCTTTTCGATTGTTCAGCTTTCCGTGGATCTTGGCCTGTTTGTACCATTTATCCGGCGCGAAATGGTTCCAGTATCCGCGTCATTCGCCCGGCTGTAGATCAATCACGTCCGAAAACGGTTCGCGTGCGTATTCGTCCACATGCGGGATGGCCGCAACTCGGGGAACACGATGTTGCGCGGTACGTACCGCTTCGGTTTCACATGTATTATCATTCGGTGTTGACTTCTGCTTTCTAACTCCTTCTCTTGATCTCTTGGCAACATATGCATAAACGAACATAGATCGCTCGTCTCGTACTGGTTTCCACGCCAGCGATCGATCTTATTTAACATCTTTTCGGCCGCGAGTGGAGGCATACCCACCTGCTTCTGATGGTCGAACCGCTGACGTAGCTGGTTGAAGAACTCTTCCAGGGTGCACTTCCCCGCCTCATGCACATCGATACAGGCCTTGCAAGCTTGCAGGTATCGGTCGGTTGGATGGTTTCTGGCGCGCTTCTGACATGTGAGCAGGCTCCAACAGTCTCCTTCTGCGTGTCGACGAGCCCCGTAGTGCCGACACTTCGGGCGATCGAGTCCCGCGTTTCCCGAATCAAACTCGCGTCGCGGGTTTTTACCGAGCGGCGCGTGGCCCGTCACGAGCAACCTGGTTTGATCTTCTTCATCGCGGTTTTGCTCACAATACTGGTCATCCCTGGAATACCCCTCGCGTCCCGAATCGTATTCGTCGATGGTCATCTGGACGCCGTGCACAGCTCGAGACGGCGACGGGGTCGTCGCGGGCGGCTTTTGGCGAAACTTGTTCGACCTGATTAGCGTTTTCTTCTGATGGGCCAGTCCGCGTTGACAGGCACGCAACTTCTTTTCCAGTGTGGCCGCGTCGGGGACTTCCATGAGCGTGAGGCGTGACGCAAGCTCCTCCCAGTGTGTTGATGAACAGTTCCACGTGCTCTCGCTTCTCCTCTGGACTTCCGTCGGCATAGTGAATCTTGGTCCGCATTCCTGCGACGTTAAGACGATACAGGTACTCCAGGGGCGTCTGATCCGTATGCTTCGACGCATGATAGTATCGGCTGGCCATGGACACCCCCTTGCCGCAGTACTGGATACGGAACTGATCGGTCGGCTCCGTCCAAGACTTCCGTGTCGGCTTCACGAGTTGTAAGTGCCACTGGGGCGCAGGCCTGTCCATCAGGTCCCCAAACAAGGCGCACACTTCGTCTCCCGTCATTGAGTCTCGACGGGACGCGGATTTCAAACGGTTGAGCCAAGCTCGGGCTTTCTAATCGCTTGCGTCACGTCTGTTGAACTCCATGAGTTCTGAAAACGCCGAGAGACACACGCGTGCCAAGCTCGTACCGGCCGTCGCCGTTGAAATCGGTTCCCTGGATCGAAGGCGTCTTACGCTTGATTGTTCCGACTAGCACGGTGAGAGGAGCGGGGAGGGTGAGGATTGCGTCCTTCCATGATTCCAAATCTCAATCGTATAGACGCTCCTCTCGAATGCGCCCAACCCGAAACCTGACTCTCGAAGCATCGTGAACAGCGTCTGGATCGCCAAACGTTCACTCGCGAGCTTCGCGAACTCGGTTTCATGAAATGCCCCGTAAGTTCACCGATCATCTTAGGTTTGAGGATGGCGAGGATCGAGTTTTGTTTCAGTTTCTTGAACAGTTCCGTGCGACTCAGCGCATACTCTACTCCTTCGCGGTGTATTCGCGTCCCGCGTTCTTGCCCTGCGGTATGGATGGCGCTTCATCATCCGACTCCGGTGCGCACAGCTTCTTCTTCTTCGGCTTGCGCCTCGCGGGTTTAACCCGGGCGTTGATGGTTGGCCTTCGACCTTCGCGGGCTTCAGACCAGGCGGACTCTGACTTTCGTCGAAGTCCGTGGCGGCTCCATGCGGAGCCACATCGGGAACGGCAAACTGTTCTTCGTAGCCCTCTCGTTCGTCGCTGGCCCCATGGCCTGTCGTGAAGGTTCCCTCCGAGCTCCACGACGCGACAGGCCTCTCTTCGAGCTCACTTGCCACCCACGACCTTCCGAGCGATGGCGCTCCCGCTTCCGCTTCTTGCTTGATTACAACTTTATCTTCCGGAGTAGTCCTCCCGGGCCGCGGCACCATTATGAGGTAGCGCACTCGCAAAAGTTTGCGATTTCACCCTCGCACAAACCCGTCGCTGCCTTATCTCGTGGCGGCGTGGATATTTTCCCGGATCATGAGCAGAGTATCTTTGGGCTCTCCCCAATCAGAGCTCCGTTTTTCCAAATTCTGATTTTTAAAAAAGTGAAAATAAAAAGTGTTTTTTTTTTTACTTTGGGAGACGCGCGAGTACTATGTGTGCCGCTTGTTGGTGGGACGCGCGCATGCACCATGCGAACATGAGACGTAGTGCTTGGGGAAGCATGATCTTTATCTTCGTGAACCAGGAATTCACGAAGATGCTGTGCTGCTCCTGTTTGCCGTCTGTATGGCAAGTCTTCCGACAGTAGCGCCAGTAGCGCTCGTGCGCATTGAGCCGCATCGGCTGTGCGCACTACGGGCACGACATGGTCCTCTCCAGCAGCCCCACCTCCATCGCCCATGCGGCGGCCTTGTTCTTGTCCGTAGTCGCCTCTGAAGCCGAAGAGATGGAGCCGCTGGAGATTGTAGTTGTGCGCCATTGTGGTGCTCATTATAAATGAGCGAGAGAAAAACGGAGCTTTGAAAACTTATGACTAGAACTTTGTATGTGATGGGAGTGAGCGACGATCGCAATTTCGCGCGAATAACGGAGCTGTTGAGCGCGAACATGGTTGAGAGTGATACACGTGTTTGTGCAGATCTGATACTGAGAGATTCTGATTCTGAATAACTTGTTGGGACCGCAAAAAACCTTTTCCTGCTTTTTTAAAAACGGAGCTCTGCTTGGGGAGAGTCTATCTCTGGGTAGAGTCGTTCGTCAAGCTTGGTGGCGAACCGTGTAGCGGTTGTTGGTCTTGGGCACGGTTGGCTGGTTTTCACTCCGCGCTCTTCTGACTGACGGCGTTGGACCTTGTTCGTCTTCCGTCGTTGGGGTTGTTCGTGGCCGTACGACGTTATCGGGCCGGCGGCTCCACGGGGTTTGCGCAGCTTTATCGGGCTGACGCGGGTCTTCCCACTTGGCGTCCGGTTATCGTGGGACGCCGCGGTGGTATCGTTTAACGTATCTCTCACTTCGGGCAAGGGGTTGAAGGTTGAGTACACCAAAAGTACCTTCTACGACTGGGGGGGGGCGCGCTTATCGGGGCGGCTCTACTGACCAGTCGATGGGGGCTTTCCATAGGACTAGAAGACACGTGGACTTCTGTAGGACTAGGAAAACTTGGGACACTTGTGTGCCACCAAAAATATTTGGGACTGATTCCTACTCTGCCTATCTCTTTTGCGCTAACTACCTTCCCACATACCTAGACTGACTACCATACCTTACTTCGACCCTAACCGTCGTACTACTCCGTCCCGGTCCGGAACTAGCCTTATTCGTCTTCGGGTTTGCCGAAGTCCAGGATCGGGGTTGGCGAAACACGGGTTCGGTTTTCACGAAACCCGGGTACGGTCTTCGGGTAGCGACTCGGCGCCACTTGAGTGGAGGACCGGTTGAGTGACCTCCGCGATCAGATTCAGATCCAGGTCGTCCATCTTTGCGCCCTTCAACTGCAAACCGATTTCAGGCCGCTCTACCACAAGTACGAAAGAGGAAAACATGATTTGGTGTTTCTACAAGAGACGCCCCTAAACAACCGAGAACATATCGAAGTACAAGAAAGAATAGCAGTCATGTGGGGTTTTAAGAGATCGATGACACCGTCCCTATCCTTTTGGTCGTCTGATGAAGGCAGGAGCGCGGGGTGGCAATTCTCGTGAATCCGTACGGTAAAATCCGACACCTACGGCCATGGGGGGAGAAATTCTGGAATGAACACATCATGATGGTGGAAGGAGTCATTGATGACAGA